AGATCCTTCTTTGGGAGGCTGCTCAGGTGGAGCTTTTGTTGTGTTTATGAGGACAAAGGGAAAGAGAAAAGGTGAGCTGCAGAGAATGGTGTTTAGTAGCACTTGGACTGACTTGGTCCTAAAGAGGTTGATATTCAGATTAGTGACTTTGGGGTTAGAATGGCTCAGGTTGAACCGTGGTTCTTCCACGTGACCCTGGTACATTGAGCAGGACACTGTATCCTCAGAAGCCTTAGTTTTCTCTGCTGGAATGTAAGGGTATTGGTAGAATCTTCTCTTAGAATTAAGCTAAAAATTAAATGAAATAGAGCCAGAGCAATAAACAAATCTGATTTTTACCAGAATCGTCAGTATTCTTTCTAGAGCTTGTGGCTATCACTTTGGACCCCATGTGATCGTGAAATCAAAATGGATCTGAAATCGAAAACATCTAGCAAGCTGCTCTGCACATAGGAAGCACGCTGCAGTTTATGAAGCAGATTCATGTTGTCATCCCCAGTGCGTTTCCACATCTTGTGACCCCCTCAGCTGTAGTTCTGCAGAAAGGTGAGGGAGGATAAAAAGTAGACTGGCAAGACGACTCAGTGAGTAAAAGGGAAGAGCAGTAAAAGCAATAGACTAGATCTATTAAGGAAGGTGGTGTGTGTGTGTGTGTGTATGTGTGTGTGTGTCTGTCTGTCTGTCTGTCTGGTCTGTCTGTCTGTATCGGGGGGATTTATTTGAGTGGTTTATAGGCTGTGTTTAAGATAGTTCAGCTGTGGCTTTTTCCTGGTGGGAAAGCCAAGAATCCAGAATTTGTTTGATCCACGAGACTGGTGTCTCAGCAGTGCCAGTCTGCTGCTTGAACCTGTAGGATTCCTGGGGAGCTGCTTGTTTTCAGTTGACTTCAGAGTCTGCTCGGCAACAGAGGGATAGACTTGCCTGTAGGAATGAGAGCAAGTTGGCCAAAGCAAGGCTTCCATCTTCCATGTCCTTTTATGTGGACTGCACTAGAAGAAGGAGCCCAGATTTAGGGTGAGTCTCCCCACCTCAGAATCCAATTAGGAAGAATCCCTCAGCTAGGCCATAGTAGTTCACGCCTTGAATCCCAGCATTCCAGATAGTTCTAGGACATCCAGGGCTACATAGAAAAAACCCTGCCTTGAAAAACCAAAGAAGGAAAAGAAAAAAGTTCCTCAAAAATGTGCCCAGCAGTTTGAATTTTAGCTTCAGGTTCCGCTGTCGTCACGTTGACAACCAAGACTAGCGATCACACACCTCCAGAAAGGTTCCATTGCTATTAGTTCACACACTGCCTGCCTCAGTATCAGCATATCTGCTGGAGGAGCCTTGCTTAGTTATTGCAATTATTTCTAAACTAAGAAGCAAGCAGAAGTATGTGTGTGTACACAGGCCATGACTATGAAGAAGACAGGGAACACTGTAGAAAATTGACTTTGTTACTACTCACTTGATACCTTTAGACTTGGGGACAATCACTCGATATAATAATGTTCATTGTTGGGTTGTAAGAGAAATAACATTTATGTAAAATATTTTTAAAACCAACTTTATTTTACTTTCCTTATTTAAGTTCTGACTCTTTTTCTTAGAATGCTAGAATAATAAAGTGAAGCCGTGTGATTGGCTATATCTATTTCCCTGTATGATAAAGAAACAGACCCATGAAAAAGGGCAAGAGGGAGAAAAGAAAGGAAGATTTATTTAGTGCCTCAAATAGGCAGTGTTTTGTTTATTCATTTTGCATTTAGTGTTAAGTGGGGATAAAGTTTCACAATGCCAACAAGGCCGACCTCAAATTCCTAGGTTTAAGGAGGAATTTATCAATTAACTGTGACTACAGACAGTTGCCAGCTTGTATTGACTAACGGTTTCTTTAGGGGTTCTTAGGATGCCAGGCACAGTGCTAGGCATGGTGTATGGAGCAAAAACAAAGAAACAGTATCACTCCTCTGGTGGGAAAGGCATGTCCTAAAGATGAACATAAATAAAGGTGTTGTAGATGGAGGATGCTTGTTCATTCCCAGCCTCCCAGACCTGAAATAATCACACAGAAACTATATTATTTACAATACTGCTTGGCCAATAGCTCAAGCATATTGCTAGCTAGCTTTTATATCTTAAATTGACCCATTTCTATTAATCTGTGTATTGCCATGTGGTTGTGGCCTACCAGTAAGGTTTCATCCAACGTCTATCTCCTGCATCGGCTCCTTGGCTTCTCCTTGGCTCTTCTTATCTGCTTTGAATTCCTGCCTTGCCCTATTCTGCTAAGCCACTGGCCGAAACAGCTTTATTCATTAACCAATCAAAGCAACACATACACAGAAGGACTTCCCACACTAAAGGCATCATCTTAAATAGTTAAGGGGTACAGTGGAAATAAGCAGGGTATTATACCTGTGGGAGAGTAACTGAGAGGTGATTTTCTCTATAGCATCATCAGCAAAGGGACTGGGAGCCCCAACATCAGTCCTCATGAGAGTCTTATCATTATCATTTTACATATGAGGAATAGAAGCCCAGAGAGACTAAGTTACATGGCCAAGAGTTCACGTTAAAGGATGACAAGCGATGGAACACATCCTTCTAGATGTAGTTAGTTGTGCCTAGTGAGATCTTCAAAGATCACACTTCGAAGTGTGAGATGCAGACAAGGTATGCACAGATGTGTGTTTAGATACACATCTCATGAGCATGTTCAGACCAAGGTAGCTAAACCATGATGGGCAGGCAGCAGTGTTGACATTGGGTGATGATGGAGAGCTGTGTGGGTACCAGATCTATCAGACAGTTCTGTGAGAGTTTGAACTTTATTGATTGTCATTCACTCACTAGAAAAGTTCAAAGAGGATTGTAATGTGATTGGCTTTTAGTGTCAAGTCCCTCCCTCATACTGCAAATCAAACACAGGATGTACTTATAGTAAGGAGCACTCTACTGGTATGCATGCATTCACGGAAGTGTGTGTGCATGTGTTTGTGCACACCATGGCTGTTTAGCGACTTCTCTGTGACTGTGACTTGCATTATGACAGATGGCATGGAGTGTCCTTTCATGTATTTATTGACCACTTGTATATTTTCTCCAGTGAAATGTCTGCTTAAATCCTTTGCCAGTATCTTAATTGGATTATCATTTATATTGCCTTGTGAGAGTCCTCAGTCTGTTTGAGATGGTAGGCCCTTACCAAATAAATGGATTACAGTTCTTCATTCCCCTTCTGTGGTTCACCTTTTTATGTTCTTCACAGTATTCTTTGGGGAACACATTTTAAGATTTTTGATAAACTGATTGATTTTGTGTTGTTGTTGTTGCTTATGCTTTGTGTCATTTAAAGAAATTAGTGGGGGGTTGGGGGAGTGGGAGGGTGTTGGGAGGGGGGGCGGAGATGGGAACTTTTGTAATTTAATAAAATTTACTTAAAAAAAAAAAGAAAAAGAAAAAGAAAAGAGACCTGACACACTGTGGGTGTTTCTGCCCCCACCACGGCCAGCAGAGTAAAGATCCATAGGAGACAAAAAGGTAGTTCAATTCTCTAAAACTAACTAACATAACAGTGTTGGTTCAAACTTCAGGAGACTGACCCTGAGTAATTTATTTCAGGCATATTTAAGCACAGCACAATTTGGGGAAAACCTGGTGGTAATTAACTCAATACCATGCGTACAATAAAGCACTTCACAAATCGAAAAAAAAAAGATAAAAAGAAATTAGTGCCTGATTCAAAGTCAAGAACACTTATCCTACTATAAGTTTTATATTTTTACCTCTTACGTTTGGATCTTCTTATGTGCTCTGAGGTAGGATTGCAAATTCATCCTTTTGCATGTTTCTCTTTGGTCATCCCACTGCTCTTTGCTGAACAGACCATTCTTCTCCACTGAAGCTCAGCTTTGCAGTAGTTGTCCTTGAGTTTCCTAGGAAGACAGTAGAAAGAAAGAGTAACTGGTATCATGCTGAGACCACTTGCTGCAATGAGAAGCTCTAGTCTCTGGTGAGGAAAGGGGACGACTCTAGGCCATGTAGAACAGAGCTGGAGTGGAAGCTATAGTTGTGTGGGTTGGAAGTAAATGGAACAGATTTTTTTTTTTTTTGCAAGAAAAGAGGAAATAATAGTTTGGAAGTGTTAGTGGGGAAAGCACTACATACATGGCCACCTGAGCTTGAGGATTTGGGGATCATGGAAAAGAAGATTGAAGAGCAGGTTTTGGTGGGATGTGCTTGTAACTGCAGCCAAAGCATACGGATCATGAGTTTGACGCCACTGTGGGCAGTAGGGCAACTTGGGAGGTACAGAGAGAATTAGGGAGAGGGAGAACACAGGGATAGAAGCAAAGCAGTTCTGTTGTAAGAGAATGGCAGAGGAGACATGGCCTCCCCAGTCAGAGTTTTTGCTTGAGTCATAGAAGTAAAAGAATGTTTTTTAAAAAAGCAGCTTTGATTTGTTGCTGACTAGTGCCAGTGCCCTAGAGAGCCAAAAGGAGCATGCAGAGAGAGGAGGGCTGAGTATGTGGAAAGAATCGGAAATGCGTAGAGTCATGTGGGTTGAGCAGTAAGTGAAGATCAAGGACCCTTGAACTTGTGTGGCACTTAAGTAAGCAGGTGCACTTTCCAGTGGTGTTACTATTCTATGTCTCAGGCACATAGACAAGCTCTTGGTCCCAATGTGAGTGCCTCCTCTTCAGCCTCTTCAGGAGAGACATGACTATTACCAGGGAACCAATGCCAGGGTCTGTTAGTGTCTTCTCCAAGGACAGAGAGTTGATAACAAACCCAGTCTGTCCAAGTACCAGCTCTGCTCACGCTAATACATGTTCCTCTAGGAGAGCACATTCACCTTCCTGCATATAGACTTTGTCCACCTCAGAGTAGGTTTATGCAGAAAGGGTAGGAAATGGCTGTGCTGACCCAGACCAGCAGAGTTGTGCTAGGACCCACAGTGCCTGCAAGACCACAGCTGTGTGCTTTACTCTCTCATGCATGTGCTCCCTCCACAGGGTCATGTGGGTACAACTGCAACTAAGAAGATCGACGTCTACCTCCCCCTGCACTCAAGCCAGGACAGACTGCTGCCAATGACCGTGGTGACAATGGCCAGCGCTAGGGTGCAAGACCTCATCGGGCTCATCTGTTGGCAGTATACGAGCGAAGGACGGGAGCCAAAGCTCAAGTAATCCTTTCTCTTCTTGCCCACTCTAGTTCCCAGTGGTCTCCTAGCCATCAAATCTGCACTTTGGGCATGTCAGCCTCTCTAGACACTAGCCAGAGAACCAGATTTTCATGCTCTTGTAGCTCAGAGTTCTCACCAGGTCTTGGACCTCAGAGTCTACTTAAAAATAAACTTGCAAGTTACCAGATATGGACACAAGGGAATGAATGTATGTGGATGAGAGTAGCATGAAAGGTGATGAGGGTAGACCGGTGTCTGAGCACTTGCCGTGAGCTGTCACTTAGCAGGCCACTTCATTCCTGGTGTTCTATTTGTTCTTCCAGCCATGAAGGTGAGTATACTGATCCTCTCTGTCTGTGAAGGAGGGACTCAGGCTCAGGTACTTGTTGAAGCTCACTCCACAGGAGATGGCAATCAGGATATTGTGAGATCCTGCCTGCCTGTGCAGAACCATCTGAACCTCAGCTTTCTTCATCACTGATGACTTGCCTTTTTCCCGTCGCTAAGCTCTGTTTTCCATTTAGCAGTTAATATTAAAAATGCCTTGCTTGAAGGTGGGCCTTCCATGCCTACACATCTAGCTGGTTTGACAGTTGCTTTAGCTGCATTGCCCCTGCTTTCGTCCTTTCCTGACAGGCATCCTCTTCTAGTTCACCGTCTTCCAAGGAGTAGGGTGTGGGATACAGCAAAATACGGTGGGAAATTTCTACTCCCTGCCCATGTTTAGCTGAGTTAGTTTAGTTAGGGTTAGGGACATTAAATTTGAACATGATTTTTTTTTTTTCTCGCCCTTCTTTCATTGTTTTCTTCCTTTGTGAAGTGTAGTCCAACCTCAAACTCAGGACCTTCCTGACGCAGCCTCCTAAGTGCTGGGATTATAGATGTGCACCACTATGCCTAGTTGCTTTTAAGCTTTCTCTGATGTTGCACTCCATTTCCCCAAGTAAATTTGGGTGTAAAGATCATCTTCATTGCTTTGGTGTCAATAGAGAGCCATTCCAGCTGAGATACTCACTAGCTTAGACAAAGGGTAGGGTTCAGCTGCTGTTCTTAGGAAGATACTGAGATGCAGATCTTTCTCAGTATGAAGTAGAAATGAGGAACAAGAAAGGGAGCAATACTTGATTTTAAAACACTGGAGCTGCTGTCTAGTGTGGCCACTGAAGCTGACAGACGTGAGTCAGCTGGCCTAGGGTTATATGGCTACTGAGTAACAGACGGGAGCTGAATGAAACTCCATTTTATAGCAATAGAAACTAAACTCAGGCTAAATAGCTTCCTTAATCACACAGTAAGTGGCAGTATTGGTATTTTTAACCCAGTGATCTCTACCAGTTCTTCCCTATCACACTTACTGTAGTGGAATTGTGTGGTAGATCTGGAAGTACAGGAAAGACTAGCTTCGGCCATCAGGGGTTTTGCCCAGGGTAAATGCCCAAGATAAAACTTCACAATCCATAGAGAATGGCATGTCAGAGCAGAAGGTTTGAGAAGAGCCAGGTGTGTTTCAGAGTTAACATGGGGTTCAACTGCCTTGATCCTGGGACAGTAAAGGTGTAACATGAAGGAGCATCAGGAAAGGTTATGTTAAAAAAGCTAAGAAGAGAGGCACAGATATGTGGTTCTGCTCGACTCCAGTGCAGAGCAGAGTACTGACATATTTGTACTAGATGCCAGAGGCTGAAAGTTTAGTGTATTGTCTCAGGAATACAGGTCAACCCATAGCACTACTTCTTTACTAGTTGATGATTTGTTATAATTTCCCTGTGTGAATTAGTGACATGATTATAATAAAAACTGGAATGTTCTTCAAAAGGTGAACCATTAAATACCATGCTGCATCTGTCCAGTGTAACACTGGACATTGCTACAACTACATAAATAGGTCTAAGTCACTTTGTAAAGGTTATGGTGTCCCATGTGATTTCATTATGTAACATATTAAAAGTGACACAGACACAGAGACAGAACACATAAGTGGTTTCAGAGACAAAGACAGTATTTGGAAGGAAGAGGTATGAAAAGACCTTCTCTGTTCTGTTCTGTTCCCAGTGAAGGACATACACATGCACACACACACATACACAAGCTGGTAGAAACTAAGTAAGATTTGTTACCAGGGTTGTGCCAGTGTCAGTTTCCTTGGTCTGGACTATAATGACACGAGCTGTCACCTCCAGAGAAGACTGCCTAAAGGGCTCCCATGTGATCAGCCTTTCCCTTTTGTGACTTTATAATCGTTTAAAATGTAAGCTTTAAGAATAGTACTTTTTAAAAAGCACAACAGCAACAAAAATCTACTTTCTGCATGCCAGGCAACAGTTAAATGTTAAGTGATGCCAGCATATCCTATTGCCATGCTGTAAGGTATCATGATTATAGGAGAAATACAACTGCAAGATTGCAAAGAGACGGTACCAGTCCCCCTACAGGACGCATGGGTACACTCACAACCCAGCCAGTGCTTCACAGGTGTTGAGAGACACAGCTGTAAACCCAGCTTCCTGATCACCCACCACATTCCTGATAGAGACCATGTGACACACTATATACATCTCTTCACTTAAGACAGTTGCCTCGTAGAGCTTTTGGTCTTTCTACTTTGAAAATTTTCTATTCTTAAAAACTATAGAGGGGGCCGGGTGGTGGTGGCACACACTTTTAATCCCGGCACTCAGTGGGTAGAGACAGGAACTCTGTGAGTTCAAGGCCAACCTGGTCTACAGAGCATGTTCCAGGATAGCCAAGACTACCCAAAGAAACCCTGTTTCAACAAAACAAAAACCAAACAAACAAGCTATTGAGGACCTCAAAAAAATTCATTTATGTATCAGTATTTTCTGTAGTATAACTCTTAACTTGGACATATGTTTAAAACATTTCTCAATTCTAAAATCACTTATAAATATATTTATTAGATGTTGGCAAACATTTTTATTTTTCACTAAATGTTCTTGAAGAACCTTAGGTGAAATTGTTATTAGATGTTTCTGTGCGCGCGTGCACTTCTACATATGCCCAAGTGAATATACAAGACAGAAAACAACTTTCAGTGTCATTCTTAGGAGCTGTCCACCTTGTCATTTTGAAACGTCTCTCATTCACTTGGAATTCACTTATTACTCTAGGCTGATTGGCCAATACGCCCCAGGAGCCTTGTCTGGCTCTGTCTAGAGCTAGGATTTCATGTGTGTGCTGCTGTAGCCAGCTTTTTCCTGGGTGCAAGAGGGTAGAGACAGAAGGATCCCAGGGTCTTGCTGGCTAGTCAGCCTAGCCAGTTCAATGTGAGGTCTCATTGAGTGAAGATTTGTAGAGAAAGACACCAGATGTTGACCTTGTCCTTCACAGGTCACATACACATCACATATAGCACATACACACCCATAAATAAATGCCACTAAAAGCAGAAAAATATCTGCAGCTTTCTAAGCTGTTTTATTAAAGCTGTTAATTATACAGAATACTAGACCTAAAAACCCTCCATTTTTTAGCTTCTTCCTTCCTTTGTCATCCCTCCCATCGCTGGTTCAATAGCACAGAACAACACCCTGAATTACTCACATAGATGCAACACGCTCAAATAGGAGAACTTTAAAATGTCTCAGTTTGTCTCACCACAAATTAAAAGAAGAGAAAAGAAAAACCTTTTAAATTCAAAATTGTAAAATCCATGGTCTATACTGCCATTCCTGAACACCTTTTCCTGCCATACATATTTAGAGAATTTAAATTGTAAAATATACATAATGAAATTTTTAAATTTTTAGAAATGTATATATATATTTCATTTGGTAATCTAGAATAATTTAGCTTCCTTATTTTTTGATAATTGTGAGAAGAGGCTTTTACTTTTTTTAAAAAAGAAAAGATGATAAACTAAAAGATTTTTTAAAAAAGAAACGTGAAAGAAAGGTTCAAATAGGTGATCAGCTTAGGTTATGTGTAACATGGGACCCAACTAGGGTGATCTCTTATGTTACTTTGTCAATTTCTGTAATTAGCATGACTTTCAATGGTGCATTCCTCCTGGTACTCATCACATGGACACCTCAGAACTCACCCCATCAGTGCATTTGGAATTGCCAAGTTAAGCCTGCCTTTGAGGTTTTTTGCAGGTTGTCTTTGACCCTAGATTCCTTAGTCCTGTTTGGTGTAAGCCAGTCTGAGTCTGCAAAGTAAATCTCTGAAATCCCTGCCTGTTGGGCAGTGTGGGAAAGATTTTCTTTTCAGCCTGTTAGTGTTGATGCACTGGAATAGATCCTTATTTGGTCTTTCCCCAGTGGGCTGGTCTGTGGAAGAGCGCTTCATTCACTGGGGCCAAATTGCTAGGTGAATGTAAGAGCTTTCCTCCATTTTTGGTTTGATTGTTAAGAAAACCATTTCTACAAGAGTATTGTTCAACTAGTTGCCCGTGCTGTGAAAACTGCAGCAGCTGACTAGCCCCAGGGAAGGAATGGAGGATTCTTGGCATCCTTGATTCTTTCTTGTGTTTGTTAATTTGTAAGATCGTACTGTGGTGTTTAGCTTGGTTTTCTGGTTATTTGATGTACTGACTCTGAGAAAAACAATGGGAAGGCACTGACTGAAACAGCTTCAGTCTTCCTACATGGCTAGATTGAGCAATTTAGACTGCATTTTTCATATTTATTGAATTTTTGTTCAGAAAATATGGCTTATAAAGTTTTGTTTAGCTTTGGGTAGGTTACTATAATTTCTTTGTATATAGTTTGTGATTCTTGTAGGGAAAAATCCCTCTGATTTGTAGATCTCAGTATATACTTACTACAAAAACACATTTGATCATTTACTGATGCCTTGGTCTAAGGTCAGCAACAGAATAACATTACACTGTTTTCCCTCTCTCAAGTTTCCACTGAAGAGTCTCTCTTCCTTCTGATATTTTGGCCATTACATAGAAAACTATTATACATGTTTGCATGCAGGTTTGTATGCATGGGAGTTTTCATCTCATTTGACTAAGTACTTGAAACACAATTCCT